CGCGCAACCATACGGGCCTTGAAGTCGACTATCAGGCCCCTCTCATTCGTCTTCCGAGAGAACACCCACTTTGAACCTATGGCCTTCCGCCCCTCGGGCAGCTCCTTGACCTTGGTAAAGGTTCCAGTCTTGTCGTGGCCATCTATCTCTTTCTTCATGGCCGCCTCCCAGAAAACCTTGTGCTTGGAACACATCACATCCTTGTACGTCATCGGTACTGCTTCGAAATCACTCGGCTTCTGCCCGGTTGGCGAGGTCATACTTTGCTGTGGGTCTGGGAGTGGTTGCGAAGACCCGCTGGCGTCGACCTCGGCCCCGAACGCCTGCTGTTCCGGGCCCAACTCCTCCTGCATCTCGCGCCTGTACATCTCCTCCATACGGCGTGTCTGCTCCTCGTCCCACTGCTCCTTCACAAGCGAGTTGCAGATGTAGTCCTCAACAATCCCCGTCCCGCCAGTTTCCAGGATGATCGCCAGCAGTGCCTCTTTCGGGTCCGGTGTTTCTCCGGGACCCGGCATCTCCCCGGCACCTTGCATCTCCCGGGTCTGCTTCCGCGTGCGGCCACTCTCAAGCCCATGGCGCAGCGGGCCAGCGTTCGAGGCGCCCCAGAGGAGTTTCTTCCCTTCTAGCCCTCGGGGGTAGCAGTCGTCGGCTGGATCATACTTCAACTCCTCGAGGTTCTCGGAGTCGCCGGGATCACCATCGCTACCGCCGTCCGCACCTGGGTCGCCGGACTCTTCGCCGCTCGGGCCGCCGGCACCGCCGGTGCTACTGCTGGTGCTGCTGCTGCTGTCGGTGGGGCTGTCACTGCCTCCGCCGAACTCGCCCCTTCCTTAAGGGGGCGACGGGGGAACGCTGCCTCCGTCCCCCGGAATTCCGTTGCCGCGTGCCGTNCGGGGGTTGCGGTCGTCGGCTGGATCATACTTCAACTCCTCGAGGTTCTCGGAGTCGCCGGGATCACCATCGCTACCGCCGTCCCCACCTGGGTCGTCGGGCTCTTCGCCACCCGGGCCGTCGGCACCGCCGGCGTCACTGCTGCTGCTGTCGGTGGGGCTGTCACTGCCTCCGCCGAAGTCGCCCCTTCCTTAAGGGGGCGACGGGGGAACGCTGCCTCCGTCCCCCGGAATTCCGTTGCCGCGTGCCGTCGGCGCCTCCTCGCGCACAAACGGCGTCGCTTGCCCTGGCCCACGAGCCTCCATCACGTCGAGGTCGGACTCACTCTATGANCAGTCACGGGGGTGATTGTGGGCAGGACCAAGGTACCATCCTTTTTCGCCCTTGGGTTGTGACTTTGCTTTTNGGCGCCTCCTCGCGCACAAACGGCGTCGCTTGCCCTGGCCCACGAGCCTCAACACGTCGAGGTCGGACTCACTCTCTGAGTCTCTCTCCCCCTNTTTGAGAAACGGGTATGTAGACCCGACAGGCGGTGGGGAGTCGTGGAACACCTGNAGAGGTAGCAGCTGCGGGGGAGCGGGCGATGCAGCGGGCACGTGGCGCCAAGTGAAATTGCGGGTTGTGATTACGGTTCCGCTTCCGTTAGCATGCGAACTCAGTCACGGGGGTGATTGTGGGCAGGACCAAGGTACCATCCTTTTTCGCCCTTGGGTTGTGACTTTGCTTTTCTTCTCGACTTGAACACGGC